ACACATAAACCTGTAGGGGAATATTTTAACCTGCCTCTTTGCTCAATTATGGATTTAAAAGCAGATATTCTTCTACAAAGGAATTTCACCAGCCAATTACAGAGAGAGAGTGTGGAATTGGTATTCATCTATAAATCTGGGCTTGAACAAAGACATTAACTGGATGTTGCATTATAAAGCCAGTCTCCTTTGCTTCTAAAAACTGCCTTTTTACATCAAAAGCTAAGAATGGGACACTTCCAGCCCATTTAATTAGTCTCATTAGCACGTGTCCTACAATTGACAGGTACTTCCCCCTCTTCCCCTTCTATTATAAATATCTTGGTTCTGTTATTTCCACTCCAGGTCATCTGATGAAGTGGGTTTTACCCATGAAAGCTCATGATACTTCATATTTGTATTAATCTAGAACAGTGGTTCCCAACCTTTTTTATACTGGGGACCAGTAAATCTATTCACAAACTTTTGGCAGATATACAAATAAATAATGGATATGCAAATAAAATGTTACTGGTCCTCCCAAAGCCCCAGTGCCCAGAACCCCCCGGTGCCATCCCTAACCCCTAGAGTCCTCTACCACCCCTCAGCACCAGCCACTGACCCCAGATTCCCCTGAACTTGACCTCCCAGTGCCAGCCTCCCACCCTCAGAGTGCCCCCAATACCAATCCCCTATCCCAAATGCCTCAGTGCCAGCCCCTGCCCTTTAGAGTCCCCCACCACCAGACCCCCCCCAGTGCTAGCCTCCTGTTTCCAGAGCCCCATCCCACCAACCTGTCAGAGTCCTCCCCAGTGCCAGCCACCAGTCCCCAATATTAACCCCGTCTCCAGAGCCCCCCAGTGCCAGCACCCAGTACCCACTACTAGCCCTGCTCCCAGAGCCCCCCAGTGCCAGCACCCACCTCTTAGAGTTCCCCATCCCTTAGAGCTCACTAGTACTACTAGCCCCTCCCCCAGATCCCCCCAGTATTAGCCTCATCTCCAGAGCCCCCCCAGTGCCAGACCCCACCTCTTAGGCCCCCCAGCACTAGCCCTGTCCCCAGAGTCCCCAGTGCCTGCCCCACCCTCCTCACCTATCCCTGTGCTGCCTCCCAACTACTAACTGAGCGCTGCTGCCTGGGTCGCGACTGCTCTAAGGCTCCCATGCCGGGCTCTGTGTGGCCTTCCCACCGCTCAACAAAGCGCATTTCCATGTCCGGTAAGAGACCCGCCCCTGCCTGGTGCTGGTTGACCAAGAAGCAGGGCAGAACACACCTCTCACAACAGTTGCAGTGGGAACGGTGTACCCCAGGCCCGGCCCACAGAGCTGCCACAGCCCAGCAGCCAGAAGTCCGCGGCCTGGGAACCACTGGTCTAGAATAGTGCCACAGGACTATTCATTGGTTTTAAAATTACAGACTAACATGACTACACCTCTGAGACATATTACCAGTTAGTTTAGTCACATAGACATCTTGCCACTGGACAATGAAGGGAGACCCCTTGATTTATTTCACATAGATCACCAAATAGCTATGAAATGGGTAACAATTGCTGGCCTGAACCAGATTCATATTGGCAACCTGCAGTAGAAGTGAAAAGCCAGAAACAGAAGATTTCCCTTAACATTGCAGGAATTCCTTAATTCCATAGTGAAAAACAACAGGAATTATTTATTTGCCATTTACACTGTTTCAGAGTTTTATTGTTAATGTTTCTGCATTTTAAAAACTGGTGTAAATTTAATTTGTTTCTAACACGACTTCTAAATATTTACGTTAGGAGTTATATTGCATTATAAAAAAATTAATGGAAATGTCTTTTGTTTAAAAAACAAAATAAATCCAACCTCATTTATGCAGAGAAACATACCAAAGACTGTCTAAGCCATCATTGCTTCCCTAACTGAAAGGATGTTTATAGTCCTAATAGAAAAAGAATAAACACAGCATACCACTCCATATTTGTAAATGTTAGAGGCTCTGCAAGGTGGCAACTGGCTGCTATATGCACTGGATTGTTTCTCCATTGTCCAGAAGGCTATATTGTGACACATGGGTGTTTAAAAATTGCAACAGTCATGATGAATGGCAGGCAGCAGCAAAAAGGATAGTAGTCCCACTTTTTTTTTTCCCCCAAATAGCACTGATTCCAGGTACTGCCTCCAGAAATAGGTTTCCATGCAGCAGCTCAGCTACTAATGACCACAGTGCAAACAGGGAGTAATTTCACTGAAGACAATGGGTGTGACACCATGCCAATGAGTGCAGTATAAATACCAAGATACACAAATAGAAAATAAAGGCTTTGAAAATGATCCATATTTACATTACTGTCCTTATGCTTGTGATAATATTAAATAGCTAATAAGAATATTGATGATTATGTGTTGTGTGTTTTTATGTCTATGACATAACCCGTGAACATAACATTAAGGCTGAAGAATTTGCAAATGCCCAAAAAATAGAAATTTCAGAGTTCAGATTCCACTACAACCCTTTTGTGTACATGTATTGTTTTATAATAGAATCTTGCATGCATCCTGGTTAATGTAACATATCATTTGCCAAATATATATTTTATAAATAGCAGTTAACCAGATGCTACACCTTGAGTGGTGTTGAAGATGTCTATGGTTTGTTACAAATAATTATGATAGGTCATAGTGATGTACAGGAAAAGGAAAGAGGACTGGTACAGTAAAAATAGGCCAGTGCAAGTAGATTTTTAAATGAGAATATTGGCAGGCTGAGCAATTTACATAGCTTCTCCATTTACATGACTTTTCTATTCAAGAGCATGACCAGATCTTAAAACAATAATGGGACTTCCCCATCAGTATGCTCCTAGGCTTATGGAAGTGAGAAGAGACAAAAGACTCTTTCAAACAATAACAAAAAAATTAATGTGCGTGTGTGTGTGTGTGCGTGTGTGTGTGCGCGTGGGCCTGTGTGCACCCACTGAATGGATTTTGCAATATTCTGTGCCACCTTATGCTGTGATCTTGCTAGATCTTTCAAGTTAGCACTTATATTGGGTTAGTGCTTGATTGGGAAACATAGATATTGTATTGGGTAATTCCAAAAAGTAACATTCTTTCCTCTGCATCAGTACTAGTCTAATACCCCAGCATCAGTTGTGGGGTATCAGAAGGTAGAAGGTGTTCTCCTCTGAATAAAATGTAAATCCTAGACTTTTGGTTATAAAAGTTCTTACTGCACTTTCTGCAAAAGTAGAATTGTTAACCTCATAGTTCTATCCACATTCCAAGCTGGGTAATTACATTCTTGTATCCTCAACAGTTGTGATGTGCTGCTGTGAAATCATGAACAGCTGTCATCTTCACCACAAAGCCAGATGCACTTTATTATTTAGCAAAGCGATCCCCATGTTTCTTATCAACTGTACTCCCTCACAGTGTACTGAGACTTGACTAGTGGGAGGAATGCACTGTGCAGGGGGTCAGACTAGATGATCATAATGGTCCCTTCTGACCTTAAAGTCTATGAGTCTATACATGAGAGAATCTTAGGTACCAAAATGGTTGATGACTGTCCTTTTCGAGTAGTCCACCATGTGGTTTTACTACTTGGCTGCGTCTAGACTGGCAAGTTTTTCTGTAAAAGCACTTGCTTTTGCGGAAAAACTTGCCAGCTGTCTACACTGGCCGCTTGAATTTCTGCAAGAACACTGACGATCTCATGTAAGATTGTCAGTATTCTTGCAGAAATGCTATGCTTTTGCACAATAGGGCCAGTGTAGACAATGCGGTATTGTTTTGCGCAAAAAAGCCCTGATGGTGAAAATGGCGATCGCGGCTTTCTTGTGCAAAACCGCGTCTAGATTGGCACGGACACTTTTCCGCAAAAAGTGCTTTTGTGGAAAAGCATCCATGCCAATCTAGACGCTCTTTTCTGTAAATGCTTTTAACGGAAAAACTTTTCCGTTAAAAGCATTTGCGGAATATCATGCCAGTCTAGACGTAGCCCTTGTGTTAATATTAAGAAGAGGTACGCTTGATTTACCAAAGGAACGAATTAGGAGAATCTTCTGGAAGTAGTTTCCAAATCCATTGTTTTTGACCCATAATGCATTAAATGGGTTGGATACTAGATATCTTAGGGTGTGTCTAGACTACATGGCTCCGTCGACATGAAGCCATATAAAGTAGTTTACTCTACATAGTCAATGAAGTGGGGATTTAAATAATAATACAATAATAATAATAATAATAATAATAATAATTAAAATAATAATTCCTCCTTCATTAAAATAAAAATGGCCGACAAGCTGTGCCGACAATCAGCTGATCCGGCACAGCGTGGCAGTCTAGACACGGCGCGGTCGACAAGGGAAGCCTTTGTCGACCGCTCCGGTAAACCTCGTTTCATGAGGCATACCAGTGTGGTTGACACAGCCTTCTCTTGTCGACCGCGTCTAGACTGCCGCGCTGTGCCAGATCAGCTGATTGTCGGCATTTTTATTTGAATGAAGAGGGGATTATGTTGAGTAAACTACTTTACATGGTTCCATCAACAGAGCCATGTAGTCTAGACACACTCTTAGAGACCCTGGTTTCCCCATGGGATACTGATACAGCTCAGATGGAAAGATGTTATTTCACATCACTTGGACTAATTTAATCACAAAGGTGTTGGAGATGGGGCATTCTCGGAGAGGAATCCTCAATGATAGGGTTTGCTTTCCACCTTTGTTTGGAAGAACTTGAAACTGTTGACCCTATTTATTCTTCCTGACTTTTTCTAGCCTGACTAAGGGAAAAGGGGGTTTTTTTGGGGAGGAGAGGTGAAGATGGAGAAAGGCTTTGAGGGTTAACTAATGGGATTTAGAGAGCTTGTCATTTTTGGGACTTGCTGTGACTGATTGTTTTGATCATGTTATATTCATAAAGGCACCAGTAGTATCAGGGTTCCACTAAGAATGTGGGGATGGAGTTGTACTGGTTTCAAATGCATTCTAATTATACAATTCTGAATTTAATTTACTTTTAACTCATCGCAGGTTCGCAGCAAGAGCAAAGCATCCAAAGCTGGGCTGTGTGAGGGGGATGAGGTGGTGTCTATCAATGGCAAGCCTTGTGCAGACTTAACCTATTCTGAAGTAATCACTCTTATGGAAGGTCTGACTGATGCCCTCCAGCTGCTTATCAAGAGGTAAAAGACTATTCAGAATGCTCTGGGATACATTCTGCTCCTTATACTCGCTGGTAAAACATGGGGGACAAGGTGTGAATGTCCATTTTATAAGCATGTATTATGAATTTCAAATGCACAGTCATATTCTTATTTATATATTTTTCGGCAGCCATTTGCTTGCCACTTTACAAACATAAAGGAATTCAGTTCTCCAACACAAAGCTCTCACTTGAGCGTTCAGACAGCACAGTATATGTACATATGATCCATTGATTCAAGGTACCATCTTCTTATGGTTCTTATTTGGTCCCCATCTCCACAGCATCTGCATGCCTCAGAATCTTTAATGGACCCCCCAGGTGTTCACCTCTGTGAGATATGGAAGCACTACTGAAGCACAGAGTGATTAAGATTCCTAAGATCTGTGGCAGAACAGGGAATTGTACCCATCTGTCCCATGCTCACTACCAGGCACATGCTCCAAGTTATGGACTGTCCTTCCTCTCCATTTAAAGACCACCATGCTCTGAGCTGTGCATTATGGCTGACCAGTGAAAGCCTCAGTAAAAGTAATGTGTTTTCAGGGGGGATGTCACAAGGATGATCTGGCACATAAGAGTGAGAGGAATTCTAAGAATAGGGAGTGGGAGGGAAGGAATATGAGTGTGCAGGAGTGATACAGGAGAGACACTGTGAATGAGGCTTCAAAAGAGCAAAGATTGTATACATGAGAAGAGCACAGTGCACAGGACAAGGAATGACAGGACAAGGAATTTCCTCAGAGACTGTGGTCAGAACAGAGACCAGAAGTCAGAACACATGACTTCCATTTCTGTTTCTGACTCACTATGTGATCTTCGGCAAGTTGGTTAACCTCTCTGTGGATTCAGTTTCTCCATCTAAAGAATGTTCATAGGGTATCTATTTTCCTTTATAAAACACTGAGTCCTGCAGTCGGTCTTACTACCACTCTAATATTCAGTATAAATTCTATACAAGTAAAAAAAAAAAAAAAAAAAAAAAAGCACCCTTCTTCCTGTGCAGAGGCTAGCCACAACTGGAGCAGGTAACACTGCTATTTGCTCTCAGCTATTTGCCCCCTCCAAAATTAGTCTCCAAGAGGGGGAGGATGGTTATGTCCAAACTCCCTGAACACTAACAGAGCCACACCCTCTGAAAGACTGTTGAGTTTCTGTTTTAGCGTGTACGTTCCTGTGGCTCACAGGGGACTTCTGAATGAGTAAGACAGAGTTCCTCTGGAAACTCCCACAGTGTATCCAGTGTAGGGTAAAAGTGTGATCTGCCCCTGAAAGGAAGAGAGTTGCTGAATTAATCTAATATACAGTAATTCCTCATTTAACACATGCCCACTTAACACTTTTTTGTGATAGCACGATTTTTTTTAGGGAATTTTTTTTAATTATATGACCGTCCCTGGAATAACATGATTTCCCCAGCCAGAACATTGCCAGTGTCTGCATGGGGCTTCCCCTGCCTCCCTGCAAAGCGGCAAAGGGTTCGCCACTCGCTGCGCCGTTCCCCGGCGACCCCCCCCCCCTCACTGGACGCAGTGTGGGTCCCGGCAGACCCGTCACAGGGGCATACTCTCAAGCCAATCCCCCTCCCCTCTCCTCCCAGAGCCAAACATCTCCCCTCCCTGCTGTAACCCAGTCCTCTTTCTCCCCCAACCTTATGTCCCAGTCCCAACAGACACCACCCCTTGAAACGCAACCCCCACCTTTTCCATTATTTTCAACAGGAAAATTGACCCCACATAACACGTTTTCACTTAACACGATCATTTTCTGAAACATATCTATAGTATTAAGTGAGGAATTACTGTATAATAAGAGTTTGTTTTGAAAGCTTTATGTTTGCTTGTTTTTGTGGGATGAATTATTTACTCAGTTTAGTGAAGTCACTGTAATAGTGACAGCTGTGGACTTCAGCTCATGTATTATGATGTTGCTGTTGATCCTCACTAACGATAAATATATATAATCAGGCATGGCAGAATTTGATTTGTATTGTTTCTCAAAGACAATACAGATGTTTATTTTTAAGTGTTTTTATTTTTACAGACTTCAAATTTGCAATTTATGGGATTTAAGCATTTTAAAAATGTTTATAGATTTAAATTTTGCACTTGCTTTATGGAGAGGATTGGGTGATAATTATTTATAAGCATCAAAACACTAATTCTCAACATCACATGTAATCAAACTCTGGTAAGTTCTCAAGCAGTGTGTCTCTTACATTGCCTATCTCTAAACTTTTATTATTATTGATGGAAATATTTTTGTCTGTATGCATAGGGGGTGAAACTGAAGTTTAGAGACACAGAAAAAAGTCTAATCCTTCATTTCAGAGTTCCCCCTGGGATGTCAGCATGACAATGGCTGGTAAAACTAGATTTTCAGAAATAGCCTCAGTCTCTGACCTTCTACACACTTTGCAGCTGTATAAATAATTTCTGATACTTCCTCTCAAAGCTGCTGTTGGAATTTTAAATGCATGAAGGGGCCACATATTGGCCCCACTGAAGTCAAAGCAAACCTTCCATACCACTTTGTTGGCCCTGTCTGAATGCATAGGGCAGATTGAAAATCAAAACCAAAAAATAATTTGGGAGCATTACACTGTTTAGTGGAATGAAACCCCAGCCTGCCAGAGATCACGAGGGGCTGATAGTTTTCCAGCAATAGACTTTCCTTTAAGAGTTGCACAGAATACTTACAGAGGAAATTGACCTATTAGCATAATCTCTGAATTTCCTGTCCCCACCCTCTCTTCCATTTAGTCTCCCTCCTTGTACTACTATTCACTGTTGGTATCTTCATGGGTAGAAGAAAGAAAGGAGAACTCCATGAATTCCTCTCCCCCTACCACCTCCTCTATAATTGCTAGTCTGCTGTCACTTTCTCTATGGTTCCTTTCTGGGAATCTTTGGAGATGCTGGCTGATTGGGCCCGCAAGGTTCATATGAGATTACCAAGATTAGACCTAATATCCTCATGGAGCAATGGAAAAGCAAACCCTTCATCTTCTTCTGCAGACAGCTCTTAACAAAGCCTTAAGAGAAGAGTGTAAGTTTTAAAACAAGAATGGTACCTGTTTAATTATTTTTGTATTACCATAGTTGCTAGGAGCCCAAGTCATGGACAAGGACTCTATCATATAAGGTGTGGTACAAAACAAAAAGACTATCCCTTCCCCCAGAGAACTTAGGCTATGTCTAGACTACAAACCTCTTTCAAAAGAGTCTTTTTTGAAATAATCTTTTGAAAAAGCCTCTTTTGAAAGAGAGCGTCTAGACTACAAGCAGATTTTTCAAAAAAGCGAGCCGCTTTTTCGAAAGAGAGTCTAGACCTGTGGTCTCCAACCTTTTTACACCCAAGATCACATTTTAAATCTCCAAACAGGTGAAGATCTACCACCCCACCCCTTCCTTGAAGCCTCGCCCTCTCTATTCTTCTCCTGTCCATCACTTGCTATCCCCAGCCCTTACTTACACACTCTGATAAACAGTTTATTTTTAAATTATGCAATATATAACATTAAAATCACGTGTTTATAGTTATGAAATAAATGGTCTGTTTTTTATTCATGCTATTTAAATCTAAAATGAAGCATTTATAATTATACATTTTGTGGGGACGGAGTTCTGCAGCTGGGAGCAGGGAAGAGGGAACAGGGTGCTGGGAGGGCAGAGGACAGGGTTCTGTAGCAGGGGACAGAGTGCCAGTGGGGACAGGAATAGGGACAGAGTCCTGTAGCTGGGAACAGGAGACTGGGGACAGAGTTCGGGGAGTGGGGAACGGGGAGTGGGGACAGAGTTCTGTGGCTGGGGACAGGGGAGTGGGGACAGCGTTCGGGGAGTGGGGACGGGAGTGGGGACAGCGTTCTGTAGCTGGGGACAGGGGAGTGGGGACAGCGTTCTGTGGCTGGAGACAGGGGAGTGGGGACAGAGTTCGGGGAGTGGGGACAGCGTTCTGTAGCTGGGGACAGGAGAGTGGGGACAGAGTTCGGAGAGTGGGGACAGAGTTCTGTGGCTGGGGACAGGGGAGTGGGGACAGAGTTTGGGGAGTGGGGATGGGAGTGGGGACAGAGTTCGGAGAGTGGGGACAGGGGAGTGGGGACAGAGTTCTGTGGCTGGGG